AAGAAATCTGTATAATCTGCTCTTACTCAATCTTTGCCTATCTTGTTCAGCGTTGTCCTGCAATATTCACTTCAAATTCAAACATTTGCTCCACAATGGAAGGAGGCCCTGTTTTTCAATCCGGGCATTTCTGATGCTCTGATGGAGGATATTATCATCTGCTGAGACTGCTTTAATAAAATATTCTGAGCGAGGCACGCTTGCTAGGACATCTGGGTTCAATGCTGCCTCTTATTTTCATTCCTTCTGAGATCTTGGGTCAAATTTTAATTTCCTTAATTGTCCTTGATCTCATCTGTAAAATGGGAATTGTGAGAGCATTTCAGAGTCAGGGTTGTCGGGGAGTGAAGGAAAGAAGTGATTCACTGTGGTGTGCGTGTGCAGAGGCCGCACAGAGAATGGGCATCTGATGTGAACTGGAGTCTTTTTCCAAAAGGCCAAGGGAGAAAAGCCAAACAAGCCAAGAACATTTGTATTTATTTGTCTGATGAATTTCAGATATCCTGATATACTTTAAAGGATCATATGTTAGTGTATGAAACTTATATTTCCCTCTCCAATTCTAGTTGCTGCTGAAAACTAAAATATCAACTCAACACAGGATAAAACCTGGGAGCGGGTCTGAGGCAATGTCAAAATATAGCTGTTTGCTGAGTGTTACTCTTGTGCTTTTGACAGGCATTGGGATTCTGCGTTCACCTGGGACCTAAATAGATACTGTCGCCTCTCTATAGCTATTAAGGATTTAGAGCACATGTCAGAAGACGATCCAACTTCCTTCATTTTCAGCCTCAACTATTCACAAAAGCCAATCTGGCCTTCAAAGGGAAACCACACCAGGATTACAGAGCTGTGGTTTCCATAGCAACAGTGGAGGTCAATAGCTTCCTTCACACCTTCATCAGGCTTGATTGCATTGGCAATTAGCCATCCCCTGTGCTTCCTTTTGTTTGTGTGTCTCTCATTTGCTTAATTTCTGTCTCAGGAACCCCCAAATGAAAAACCACAGGTGCTGAATTTAGATTAAAATCTATGCAGGCTTTACTAAAGCACTGGGCAACACTGTCTTATGACTCACAGGCATGTGTTTTGAGAAACGCATTTCTGCATCCTCAACTGCAATCTTTCGTACTGCACTACAGCTTAGAAATTCTTTGTTTGCAATGCCTATGGCTTTTTATTTATTTATTGTTTTATAAAACGTTTTAAATATGTGCCATTTCTTCTTCTAACACTGCATTTTGACAGCAAAGGTAACAGATGTGCTAGGTTAAAGTCCATTTTTGCGTTATCATACAAAGGCTAGTACATAGCCTTTGTGCTGTCTCCTCTAGCTCCTCCCCTTTTACATGATGTCCATATCACTGCTCCTCCTCTTCTGAATTCTTCCACATACCTTCTGCTTTTGGCCTGCATATGCTGACCTCACCTTCTGTTTTTAATTTGAGAATTTTATACCTGAGTGTTTTCATTTTTTTCCCCCTCTGATTCCTCCCATAGGGCCCCAACAGCCACTTTTCAATTTATGGCCATGTCTATATTTAATTTTGGGATATCTATCATTTATCAATCTGTCACCTATTCATCTATCCATCTATTCATCTATGCATCTATCATACTGAGTCCAAATTAGTGTTGCTCTTATTTGCATGGTTTTATGATTGACTCCTTAGGATAGAGGTCTTATTCCTTGACAAAAAACAAACTAGTTCTCCCACCCTGAGTAGCCACTGACTGCCTATATTGCTTCATCTAGTTGTAGAGCCCCATGAAAGATTTTTCTCTAGCCTCTTCTTTGGATTATTCACTTTTATAGTTTCAGGGTGAGCAGCCCTATTTCTCTTCTGATGAGGTCCATTCATACAGTGTCCAAACACAACCCTCCAGCTATGACCTCTCCTCCAAAATCCAGACATGGATGTATATAACCCAGAAATCAAATATTTCTTATCCATTTCAAACAATGTTTTTGAATTTGCCCAGCTATGTATGTCCCAAACTAATCCTTGTCTCTGAGGCCAAGTACTGTAGGTTGCTAAACTCCATGACTGTCTTTCCCACTTCCTCTGTCTCTAGGAGGCTATTGGAAATCAGACTTTACCATCCACCCTTATAACCGGAAGCACCTGTGTCACGAATGCTGGATGGCGATGCATAAACCAGCAGCTCTCCACACCCTCTTCCTCTTATTCCTTCCTCATGACAGGAGCTGACTATGAAATAAAACACTGCCATACTGCAGACTGTCGAGAGAAGACACATTACAGAAAGGACATGGTGTTTCTGTGAAGCATCATTGAACTAATGGCTTCGTGGTAGTAACATGATAACTACTGACTGCTAACTGTGGTCTCTTGAATACAGAAAATAAATGACATTGTTAAGGGTCTCGGCCAGTGTAGTCTTGTTCTTTGCTGTTGATATGATAGTAAGCAAAACACCCTATTTTTCCTAGTGGCTGTAGCCTCCTAGCCCGCTCTCTCTTGTAGTCTGCATCTTGGAAAAGCACTTTACAATGGATCCTAGTCAGGAAGAAGGTGGCTCTTCCAGGTTTTTTCACAACCTCCAATCTTACCTCTCCCACACCAAACAAACATGCTGAGTTCATCCAGAAATCCCGTGGCATTTCTTCAAGAATGGAACAGCATTATCAATGTCTCTCTCTTGTCTAAGTTAACTATAAAATCTTTGAATCCACCCCCCTCCACTTCATTTGCCCCTTCTCAACTCAGAAGCTCCTCTCAAACTACAAATGTTTAATGTCAGATCTCTGTTAAAACTTTGTTTCAGCTGAACCCAGAACAGATTGAAGCTACACCTATAACAGGGTCAGAGCCATATGCCAATAAATCTCGTGGTCTGTTATATCTTCACTACCCCATCAGGTGGCTCTTCAATCCTCTCTCCCCATGCCTCTTTAGCCACAGCTTTCCTGTATGTTCTGAGATCACCATGACCCCCTTCACGTCCTTCTGACTTTTTAGCCCACCCTCACCCCTCTATACATCATATGAGCATGGAAAGCCCCCTTTGCACCCTTGGTCCTCAGCTGAAGTGTGTCCTGAGAGACCTCCATTGACTGTTTTATGAAGCTTAAAAGTCCTTTTCTATTTGACCTCACTTCTCTAAAAAGTAGAATTTCCTTTATTTCTCCCTTCATTTCTTGTATTCTCTCTTCAAAGTGTCCACTATCATTCGTACTTCTGTATAATTTGGAATCTAGTTTGGGGAAAGAAGGTGCTTCCGTTTATCAGAGGGAATATAATACACATAATTGAACAGGCCCTCACAGAGCACGCACAGGGTGGGGGTGAAGAAGTGGTTGGGGCATTAAGGTTTCACAGAGATAGTAACTCCAGACATTACAGCCTTTGAACTATGATCTGAGTTTCAGAGGCTTTCAGACCTGGTACCTAGAACTCACAACGGCTCTTATCCCCTGATGGTACCCAGGGAGGATCTGAGAGCTGTCCCTCTGGTTCTAACAAAGGATGCTGTCTAACTGGTGCAGACATCTATGAAAAAAGAAAGGATAAAGCCAGGAGAAACAAGAAACTAAAAATAGGTGATGATGCTGAAGTCAAGTAAATGCTGCAGAGAAAACCAAGAGGAACAAATTGCTTTTGACTCCTATTCCTCTGAAAACTTCTTGTCAGCAAAGTTCAGTAAAGATTGATGCACCTGGAAAAAGTGACAATCTTCTGGATACCTGGCCAAGTAGTACAGAGCACCGCAAAATATCCTGTGCATGGAGATTAGATGTCCATAATTTCATCATAAACATAATATTTGTCTATTGTCTTTTCTTTGTAGAAAGTACATACTCAAAATTTGTCTCCCTCCCTTGTCTCTCTTTCTCTCTCTCTCTCTTCCTTCCTTTCTTTCTTGACTTGCTTGTAACAATTCCTCTTCTCATCCCCCAACTGTCCAGTATAATAACAAGTATATATACTCAGTAAGTAGTTAGAAAACAGTCAATAAATATTCATTAGATATTTTTGGAATTACTAAATTTATTTTTTCTCAAAACTACTTGACAAAATGCAGGATACAATTTTGCTAATTACCCAAACTTTTAGTTCCCCATATGATTTCTTTGGGGCTTAAAGTATGACTATGAACCAGTTCCTTCCTAGTTAGCTGAAACTAAAGGTGTTATCATATTATTTAGTAATAAAATTCACAGCAAACATTGATATCTTCAAATTCTCCAAGAATTAAACAGGGAGTAAGATCTAAGGGAAATGAAGGCTTTAATGCGATGCAGAGGATGCTGGGAGAAGAAGGTGTAATCGGAGGCTTGAGAAGGTGGACAAGCAATGCCATGGGGTACAGAGCGGGGCTTGGTAGCTTTGAGATGACTTGATACAAGCAATGAAGCGAGGGGTTAGGGAAATAACTGAGAAAGAACGTTGTAGCTGAAAAAGTAATAAATTCTGGACTCGGATGTGTGTGCTTTATGCCTTTTGCAAACAGGACATAAAGTTATTTTTGGCAAAGAAATGATATGATGTTTAATGATAGGATATGATCTATAAGGTTTCCAGAAGATCAATCTGATGCACTATCAATAGGCTATTGATTGGATGGACTTAATTTGAAAGACCTTGCCAGAAATGTGGCTCTGTGATGGTTGAGCACTTACCTTGTGTGTGAAAGGTTAGCCACTCATCAAGGTAAAACAAGAGAAGAAGGACGAACTGCCAAGAGACTGTGGCAATAATACTGAGCCTCAAAGTGGGCAAAGGAAGGAATAAAATAAGCTGTACCAACAAATGTTTAAAAAGAAGAATTAATATAATATAGCACAGATTTAATCCAAGGCAGAGGTGGTTTCTAGAGTTTGTCAACAGTGGTTCTCTTAGTGAGGATTTATGAGGGTGGAAACAGAAAAGAGCACTCATTTCATCAGGATAATTTGATCATGATGACATCAGTCCACCTGGAGGCCTGCTGATCGTTTATTTTCCTGCAGCAACGAGTCTCAGTTCGTTGAAAAGCTAGTAGGAATCTGGAAGGATGTATGTGTCATCATCTTGGGGAGGAGGAAGAGGACTAGGCTTCTGGAAATTACAATAGAGGGCGTCTGTTTGATTCCCGTAGACATGTTCCTCGGGATTAGATGGCTGCGTGTTTTCATATAGCGCCTTCTCGGTTGATGCCTCCGTGCTGGCGGGACCCACTTGCACATTTTCGTACTCGCCATGTGTCCTATTTCTCTTGATGGTAGACTTGTGGCCTTTGCTTTCCCCTGAAGTTTTAGAGTTTGGGCAAACCATGTGGGGGTTCAAGTCAAGGGTTTTTGCGAAGTCCTTATGTCTGTTATTTCTCCTTTGCATAAACTTCGGTAAGGTAAGTGCTGTGGATTCCCTGCGCTTCCAGTGCCAAACACACCCAATTCCACAGACTATGAGAAGTATAAGGAGGGAAACACCAACCGCCACGCCCATCAAAGAGCTCACAAAGCTTTCCAACATTTCAACACAGTGGTCAGCGGCTCGATGTGGCTAATGAATTTGCATGCTCAAGCAGATGCAATTTTTGGTAGCCTGTTGTGGTTCAAAACCAAGTTTGGAGGGTCTTTTAGCCATTTCTTTTCCAGACCTGAAAAGACATTACGTGACAAAGTCCTGATGCAACCAGAGGTGATATTCAACAGTCTCTGCAGAGCTGTATGGGGGTCGGGAAGGGGGAGATATTTTTATTCCTCTTACCTTCCTTTTCTTTCAGTGGATCACAAAATGAAGCAGAAGACAATAGTACAGTAGAAACCTCAAGAAAGGGAAGGTTGGGAAATCCACCATCTACAAACCTGCTAGAAAATTTTAAAATATATTAACGGCACACTTAGTTCTTGGTGAAAATAATAAACTTACTGTATCTACTGAATGTATGAGACATCACTGTATTGTTAGTCCTGGTTTTTATATTGAATATAACATGAGCTGTTTTTTTGTTTGTTTGTTTTTTTTTGTTTTTTTTTTTTTTTTGGTTTTTCGAGACAGGGTTTCTCTGTGTCTTTGGAGCCTGTCCTGGAACTAGCTCTTGTAGACCAGGCTGGTCTCGAACTCACAGAGATCCACCTGCCTCTGCCTCCCGAGTGCTGGGATTAAAGGCGTGCGCCACCACCGCCCGGCTAACAGGAGCTGTTTTGAGAAGAGAGGGAAGGATCCTGCCCAGCCCCCAGGTCCTGCCTGTGTTGTTTTTGATGCTACAGTTGATGAGTTTTGAGGGAAATATAAGGTTGTTTCAGCCTTAGGGGCCACGTGACAAAACTATCCACGTGTGGTCAGTTCGTGGCTTCCTGAATCTCTGTGAAGCCTTCTTCTCCTTTAGAGGCTGCGTCATCTCCCGGGTCACTCTTCTATCTAGAGTCCCACCTTAATTAACCCATTTTCTAGCAGAGCCTGGTGCCCTAAATGCAAAGGGATTGTGTCTTCCTACCTGCTCTGAAGGTGAGCAGGGATCAGCTCCTTCCATCTTTAGATTCCTAGAGAGAACCAGAACACCTAGCACAGAAAGCAAATTCCATCAGGATTTATTTGAACAAAAGACAGCAGTTTCTAAGTGACTACAAAATTCATCAACTAATTGCTTACACTGCCACTTGAAGACACAAGGTATGAACTTTAAAGGGTGCATAGATTATTCTTAAATTTTAAGTGAAGCAAAGTATCTTTGTAAAATTACTAATGACAAATTCTGACATCTTGTAGCGAATAATTTTCACTTAATCAAGGCGATGTTTGAAGTGCTCAGTTGAAACTTTAAAGTATCAAGGAGAGAAACACAAAGTATTCCAACTAGGCAGGATTTTTCTCATGAGATTTTACCAACAAAGCAGTCTTACTGCTTTCAGACACAGGAATGGTTGACAGCAAATATTTTCAATAGTGTTGGTAGCATTTTTACCATTGTCTACTGAACGTCATCAATCATATTTAATTAGGAACATATTTTAAATCAGTGTCCAATCACTTTCATGTGGATTATCTCATTCCTACAGCTCTCGTGTGTGGGTACTATTGTTATGCTCATCCAATAGATGATAAAGTAAAGGACTCTAGATGATAACTCCCTAAACAACAAGTAAACGCTATTCATCTCTTACTCACCAGGACTAGTACTAAGTAAAGAAGAGCTAATATACTAAATGTCTGCTAATAGATGGAGTGGTCCATTCAAAGCCACAACAACAACTGTGAAAAGGGAAAGAAAACCCACAAAGTAGTGCCCCATCCCTCAGTGAGTGCGCATTTCTAATGACCACTTTAAATAAATTTGCTTAAGGTCTGATAACATCAATGGCCCAAATTTTCAATTTTTCCTTTTAATAGCGACAGAAGGAATATATGTACAGCTTGTTTATAAGCTGATAACAATTTAGGGACAAACACGCCTAAATCCAGATACCGCTGAATTTCCTTAGGGCTCTTGGGAGGGGTACATTAGAGATGAGAATAGCATTATCTAGTTATCACATAATATTTACAGTCTGAGCTGCTCATGGTGGCTCGTGCCTGTGTGATCCTAGTACAAGGAGGATGAGGCTAGTCTGGGTATATAATGAGACAACTTTACAGCTAGAGAAAGGCAGCATAGAAAACGGTGGTAGTCAGTAGGAGTGATCAAATATGAACAAGATACAATGATAGAGGTATGAAAGTATCATAACAAACTCATTATTGTGTATATTACCTTAAAAGTTAAAAGATAAAGCTATAGTCTATGGAGTCCTCCCACTCTTACAAGAGCAGACCTGATACAAAGGCTAAGCCCAAACATTTGCCTAATAACTTTTACAAATAGAGCATCATTTCCTTTATGGGCAGATGAGAACGGATCTTAATATCTTGTAGCACAAATGATTACGTTCATACTAACCACAATGTTTGAGATTCATTTCCAAAACAGATTTCAAATATAGAGTGAAATAAATTAGTTTTTAGGAAGGTACTGAAAAGAATGGAAGCGACTTTCCTGCATGGCTAGCTGATATCCCTTTAGGCAGTCTATGAGTCCCTCTTAGATTCTGAAACAATTCATTTTTCTCATTTATTTTAGTTCTATGCAGAGCAGATAACCCAACACATCCTTAATAAAAAAAAAATCATGCTCAGAGTATTCACTGAGAAATAGAATGGCCAAAGATAAGCATCATTTCCCTATCATCAAGCCAACTTTATAGCAGAAAACTCTGAGATACAAAAAAAAAAAAAAGACCGGTAATGAGAAATATATTTCAAATAATAAAACAGTCTAGCTAAACACCTAAATGAGGTTCACTCCGTCCAACCTTGAAGCTCTTTTCACTTTGGAAAGCAACAGTTTCCACAAATTGACTAGTAATTCTGCACTTGTCTTCAAATCGCAAATCCTTCACAGAGCCGACCTTGTGAAGCAGACGCTATATTTCTGTATTTCCATTGGGAAGAAGGGAGAGCACACGGAAAAGCTGGTTAGACTCGCAGGGTCCTAGACACACCAACCTTACCCCCAACTTGCAAATTGCTTCCCCACTACAACTAAGGTAGTATTATGCTTTAAAAAGCTGGTTTTGATGTCGCAGACAAGACAGCATTAGTTGATTAACGGTGACTCTATTTCTTACCTCTCTTTATTACCCAAACACTTTAAATCGTGTTCCTACTCACTTCAAAGCCTGGGAGTGCTGGGCTCTCAGTCACCCTTCATCAGACTTGCTTGGGCCAAGCACTGTTCCTCTTTTGATTCTGGTCAGTCAGTTCCTTCTTCGTCTCCTCCTTTCAGGTTATTTAATACTTGCAAAGTTTCCTGGTTCTTGAGGAAGTTGTTATCAGACACCGCAGAATTATAAATGGCCCTCCCTCCTTACAGGCAGAACTTTTTAAAGTGTATATTAAGTCAATACATCAAGCCTAGGTGATACTTCTTTTCTGAACAATATTTACAATGCTCAGTTTGAAATCCATTTTGTACTTTTTAAAAGAGACTTTAAAAACTCACACTAATGTACAGTTTGAGTGTTCTTGTTTGTTCGCTTTATAATTGGTAGAACAATCCTCATTTAAACATGAAGCTGCAATGACACCCCCAAGTAAAATCCATACATCTGCTGCACTAGTGCCCTGATTTTGCTATCATTATCATCATCATCATCATCATCATCACCACCACCACCACCACCATTACATTTGTTAAATAGGAGTTTAATAAAGAACGTCCTGAGACATTCTGCTCTGAGATCTGCTATGCAGATCTTCCATCAGGTAAATTTGTAAAGTTTCTTTTTGGTTAGGAGACTCCCAGGGCATCAGGACATTAGAGACTGGCAGCAGTTTGATAGCAAGCAAACAAGCCAAAAGTAGCAGGAAAGAAAAATTGCTTTTTGGACTTAACAGTATTCGGTTTGTTCCTAGCAATAGGTAGCCTATGGCTTTAATAAAATTATTACCCAGGAAATCCATAGAGGAGAAACACCACAATTAATCCTAGTTTTTAGACAAACAGAAGCACAAAAATGTCTACTCCCCAAGTGCCACTTCCCCGGTGTCTATGTCGCCTGACTCAATGTGTGGAACGCCATGTTTCCAAATATAATCTTTCTGTGGTATCATCCCTAAGAGCCAGTGTAGCAGAACACAAAAATAAGAACTGCTGCATTAAACAGATAATCAGCGAATTAAATAGACAATCTAGAAACAATCACAGAAATATCGCCTTTTAGAGTGTTTTGGACTTCCTTCATGCCAACTTGAAGGATTAACCTTGTGTAAACTGATTTTGAAGAAGAGGGAGGCTGGGGGTGTAGATTAGTAATAGAACACTTGCCCAGTGTAGATTTCTATATTCAGTTGCCAGCACTGGAAAGCAAACAAAAACAAACCCCACTAAGACTTCATTGGTGAGACGCTAGTCTGATGTTGGAAGAGCTACGCCATCATCTGTGTATGCTGGACATTGTCACTGCGCTCAACTACAGGGATGTGGCAGTAAATACACTCTTGGTAGCACATGGAAACCAGCAGAAGCTGCCACTGGACCCACAGATCATTCAGAGTGTGGAAGTAAGGCTAAGAAATATACAGTTCTGGGGAACAACGGGGATCAGGAAAAGCAGGCATGAAGCTCAGGGTGGGCAGGAAATGAAGATCTGAAACAAAGACGAGGGGTCCCCCCAAAGTCCCAGATGGGGCAGTGAAACTGTGAGCAACATGTGCTCCACTGCCTCCTGGAGCACTCGGATGCAGTAAGGTTCTAGCTGCCCTTTGATGTCACAGCACACACCACAGGCACAAACATGTACACACATACATGCACACATAGCCCATTTGTATAAATTCATGTTGTCAGCTCTAAAAGTAGAAACTAAGGAAAATGAACTCCTATTACTTTAAATCTATTAAGGACAAATAAGTCAGAGAGCTGTCACCTGGCACTTAACTAAACAGAAATATTTTTAAGTAATAAAATTAATCTCTAGGATTATGAAAAAACA